CTCTCTCTCTCTCTCTCTCTCTCTCTCTCCCTCTCTCCTTTATCTCACATTTCTGTCCCAGTCAAATCAAACATGCTGTATTGGCAGGAAAAACTGTATGACCTGTTAAATCGAGTCATCATTAATATATACATGAATAAAAGACGTTCATGAGGATCAATAATTAAAAGAAAACTAATGTTTGGAGTATAAATATAATAATACATAAGCATAAAATGAATAGGGACAGAAAATACTACTACTACTACTACTACTAATAATAATAATTATTATTATTATCATTATTATTATTATTATTATTATTTTATTATTAGAAGAAGAAGAGGAAAGTAAACAGTAAGGTAAACATGGAAAAGCTAAGGAGGAGATCTGAACATCAGATTAAGAAATACAGATTAGATACCTGGAGATACACTATGATACAGTTTTTCTCTCTCTGTCTCACTGTTTCTTTGAGGATAGAGAGAAAAAAGAAAGTGAGGAGAGAGGGAGAGAGAGAGAGAGAGAGAGAGGAAAGTGAGGAGAGAGCGAGCAGCTGCTCTGTCTGCTTTCTTTTCTTTCTTTATCAGTTTTAAAGCTGTTCCGCTCCTCAGCTCCATTTAATCCTCTATAATCCTGAACCATAACGTTACACACACACACCACACACACACACACACCACACACACACACACACACACACACACACACACACACACTCACACACACCTACAGCAGCTCCTGTTCACACATCAGCTGCACTTCAGATGTAGTTCTGTTGTTCATATTTGCAGCAGTGTCCAGTATTTGTGTCCAGTATTTGTGTCCAGTATTTTCAGTGTATAAAGTCCTGACAGAAGCTTCATCTAAGGTTAATCTACAGAAGTCCGGAGAGGCCATGAGTTGTTGCTATAATTTTCTGGTTTGTTATCTTGAGATAACATGTTAATTATCTTGAGATCACAAAATAATTTTTGTTATCTGAAGATAACAGCTTTGTCTTGAGATCACAAGATAATTTACTTATCTCAATATAACAACTTTTGTTATCTCAAAAATAAGACAACTTGTTATTTCAAGATAACATCTTTGTTATCTTGAGGTCGCAAGATAATTTACTCGTTATCTCAAGATAACTTTGTCTTGAGATGACAAGATAATTGACTCTATCTCAATATAACAACTTTATCTCGAGATAACAGGATAACTAACTTGTTATTTCAAGATAACAAATTTATCTCGAGACAACAAGATAACTAACTTGTTATTTCAAGATAACAATTTTTGTTGGATTGTAACTACCTCACAGCCTCTCTGTACCAGTCTGTGTGAGAGGCACAGTTGAACAGATATGTTTTCAGTCTAGTCTTAAAAAGTCTGATCAAATCTCACAGCTTCAGGAAGTTTATTCCACCCGACGGCAGCGTAACGGCTGAATGAGGTTTCTTTTAGGCCTAAAAGTCAAAAGTTCAGCATGTAAAGGTGCAGATCGCGATGAGCTCAGTCTTAGTTTGATATACTGAGATACCGATCACTGATGATAGCGGATTTACTGTGATGTACTGGGAGTAAGTGAGGGAGTGCTGGTAAGAACAGTGTAAATGAAGTGTGTTGGGTGGTCTTATAGAGGCTCAGCTGGAACACAGCCCCATTCAGCTGAGTAGAGCTCAGATTTAGAGACTTAGGGCTGTAATTGGTTTTGTTTGTAGAGATCAGAGTGAACATGATCATCTTACAGAACTGCGGGGTTTACCGTTACCTGATTACCTGTGTCTCAACACGTTACTGTGGCCTCTGAAGTTCACCAACACACTGCTGTGTGTGTGTGTGTGTGTGTGTGTGTGTGTGTGTGTGTGTGTGTGTGTGTGTGTGTGTTTTTTTTTGGACCCAAACTCAGCTGTGTTTTCAGAGGGTGTGTCATTGGGGGAATGTGTGCTGGATCAAGAACAAACAACTGTTGCTTTGTTCACACGACTGTTGGTTTCTGTGGAGCTACATGTTCGGAGACCTTTATCATTATTATTCTCCTTTCTTGTATTTAGGTTATTATATTACTGTTCTATCTTGTAATATGTATTTACACTCTTTATACTGCACTTTGTGCTAAAACACACATTTTCCTCTTGTAGCTGCTGATTAAAGCAAAAGTTTGGCAGAAACAGGTGCTGAACACTTGTAGCTGTTAACAGTGGTGGTGATAGGAACCAGACGTCCACCTCTAAAAGCTCCCTCACAGAAAGTTACTACAGGAAATGGTTATGAATTCACTGCCTGATGTCTGAGACACTGTTTTAGGATAGTTTTAAGAAACTTTTAAAATAGTCCCCAAAGAAACTTTTCACTGTTCGACTGTCATCAACATTTTATGAAAAAAACTCAGATGTAGGTTGATGTAGGTTCACTGGTGGGTTTGATAGTAAATAAAATGTCTATATTTGTGTTGTAGTCATGGCGACCCCTGGTTCCTATCACCACCACTGTAAAGACATCTGAACCATTTCACACCAAACCACTCTGAATGATTCTGTTTACATCCCAAACACTGAGATTGTGCAGAAATGTTGAAAAAGAATGGAATTTCAGTCAAAAACTGTAGATTTTCTGTGATGAGCGTTCACATTACACAGCTGACCAATCAGTATCAAGTCTCTCTACTCAATTATCTTAAAGCTAGTTTTGGTTGTTTTCGAACACTCAACAATCTGAACGAGAGAGTTTTCTGTTTAATGTTATTCACGTCAGTTTTGAAGTGTTTATTGATCGTCTCAGTCTTTCTCGTCCTCTCAAACCGTTGTTAAGCCGCCTCCTAAGAAGCGTGTCCTGCTCCTTTTATACGAGACGCATCTCGCATGTAAAAAGGAGTCGTCTGAACGTCCTCTTAGGCAGCCGTGAACATGGTTTAAAGTGATCTCAGTGTGTTTTGCATGTAAAAACAACACAGCTGAACGTCAAATGGCCCCTAATGTCTACATAGTGCACTACATGGGTCTCAAAATAGCCCAAAACAGTGCCTAATATATTTGATTTGGGACTGGGCCATGTGCACAATTCCCTACTGGACATTTAGTGCATATTTAGAAAAAGAAGCTGAAACTCACGTAGTGCACTATGTGTAGGGATCCATTTGAAATTGAGCCCATATAACATCAGAATAAATAAACAAGTAATACAGTAAAATATAGCAACACAGTTATTAATGTTGTTTAGATGAGTCCAGTTAGAAGAACACAGGTCTGTCCAGTTCAATCACCAGCGCCTGATTTTAATTTAATGGATTGATTGATTTGATAAACTAGCTGTTGGATGGTAACTGTAAATACTGGACTTCCTCCAGGAGAGCTTTGGCATGTGGCATTGTTTTGCTGAGTGACCATCCCACATGTTACCGTAAGTGAAAGTGGGTCAGTGCCTGAAACCGTAAACACAGAGAAAGAGCCAAACACTCACGTGGACGGAGCCAAACATGGAGGTTAAAGCTGCAGCTCTGTAGTGACATGAAGTTTAGTGACAAACGCTCAGGTGATGGTCATATAACCCATTAAACGTCCAGGCTTCCATTCCTCTCTCCTACGGCTTCAGAATAAGTCAGCCGGTCTGCACTGTTTTCTGTGTAGTTACTGAATAATAAGCCTTAAGGCTGCCGCACAGTGGATGCTACATACACGGTACCGCTGTTCCTGGTACACTCTGCCCATATAAATATAATAGAATGAAAATTTCAACTTCATTTCCTGCATTTATCATGTTTGGTATCAGCTAATTCTTCACAAAGGTCTAGTTTTCCAGCCTAAACATCTGCGGTGCAGTGAGTTACAGTGTGACTAGGCCAGAGAGAGGGAGAGAGACTGCTGTGAATTATACCGCAATTTCAGGATCGCTCTGCTGTCACACACAGAGCACTGTGTCTCTGAGTGAAAACGTCTCCCATTACACCATTAATCTGACCATTAAACCCCCCCGTCTCTCTCTATCAGCCACAGCCATGAGAGTGAGAGGGAGTCTAGACTTGTGGGCTCCTGGAGGGCTGCTGAATACAATCACATAACTGAACACACACACCCGAGCCCTCCTTCACCTCCTCACGTATAAACAGACTGACTTACCTGTTCCATCGAGGAGCAGTAAAATTAATTTATTTCTTTGTGATGGTGAGATCAAGAGGCAGGAGGGAAACTCCCCAGGCTGCAGCGTAGTCATTTAGCTGGCCCGAAAAGAGTCCTTAGCCGAGGAGGAAGGTCATTCTCAGCCTGGGAAACTAGCCTCGGTATAGCGTCACTCAAGTGGCTGGCCCAGGAAGCTTTACAGCTGTGGTATAGCATCTCATAAGCACCGTTGTTCATGCGAACAACCAGGGAGGCCTCATAGTTACAGTGTAGTGTCACTTAAGCATCCAGCCCAGGTAGCCTTGTAGCTGTGCTATCATTGCTCAAGCAGTGTCGCTCAAGCAGCGTCGTTCACGTGGTGACTCTCAAGCAATTGGCCTGGGAAGCCTTGCAGCTGTGGTGTAGCATCGCTCATGTATTGTGCCCAGGAAGCCTCATAGCTGCAGTGTAGCATTGTTTAAGCAACCAGCTTGGGAAACCATGTAACTGAGGTGTAGCATTGCTCAGGTGGTCGGCCCAGGGAGCCTCTTGGCCACAGTGTGGTATCATTGAAACAGACATCCAGGGAAGCCTTGTAGTGTGGTGTTGCTCCAGTGGTTGGCCCAGAAAGCCTTATAGCTGTGTATGGCATCACACAAGCAACCGGACTGGGAAAACCATGTAGCTGCACTGTAGCATCACTTAAGCAAACATCCAAGGAAGCCTCGTAGCTATGGTGTAGCATTGTTCGAGAGGTCAGCACAGGACGTGTGATAGCTGCGGTATAGCATCACTCAAGCAGTCGGCCCGGAAAGCGACATAGCTGCGCTGTAGTGTTACTAAAGTGGACATCCAGGGAAGCCTTGAAGCTTGGATTGAAAACTTCATATGTATGCAAAACTAAACCCCTCCCCCTCTCTTTCTCTCTCTCTCTAACAGAGTACCCATTCTCCCCTGATGTCTTGCCCCCGTTGCTGGAGGTCCCTGACGCTGAGGGGGCGGTCCTAAGCCCCAACCGGAATTCTGCCCTTAGATACAACTCCGCCCACAGCATGGACTCCTCCCACTGCAGCGATCGTCCAATCAGCTATGGCTCCACGTCTTCCTCTGCCTCCTCCCGGGACAGCCACTGCTCTCTTGGGGGACGGGGTGTTTTAGGCTCCACCCCTGAGCGTGACCGGGACTCCGGGGCAATCAGACTGGAGCTGGTCCCTGCCCGTCAGCTGGAGGAGGCGGAGTCAGGAAGACAGACGCCTACACCCACCAATCAGGAGGAAGCAGATGGTGGGCGTAAAGTAGCGTACGTGGACCGAGTGGTGCAGGAGATTCTGGAGACGGAGAGGACTTACGTACAGGACCTGATGAGCATCGTTCAGGTGAGAAAGAGAGCGAGTGATGACAGATGGAGAGTCTGAACCCGGTCCTCAAGGTCCCCCAGATGGTCCACATTTTTGTTCCAACCCAACTCATCTAAGGATGAAGGAAAAATGAGGAGCATCTAGGGTGCCTTGAGGACTCGGTTGTGGTGTACCGGCTTTACAAACAGACGTGTCAATACTACATTTAGTTGCTGAATTTGAATTTAGTTTTCGACAGTACTTTAGACTCTTGCACTGATATTCATTTCTTTGCACATTCATATCTATTACTATAGTCCAGTCGATGTGGATGAAGTACCAGTGTTATGTCCATAGATGGCAGCAGCTATGAAAGGCCATACGAAAGGCCAGTTCCCTTCCACTTGCTAGGTCTCCTTTTATCACACGATGTTACCAAGCTGGGAAGGTGAAGGTGGCATGTGCTTCCTCGAAGAACCACTGCATCTTTTCCAACTGCCATTAATACAACATTATTGGAGTTTAACACGCTTGGAGGAGGACATCTGCTAAATCTGCTGAGTAAGCGAGGCCAGTTATGCTCTCGTGGACCAACAGCTATAGATGGCAGTGGCATCATTGGCATCAATGGCATCATTATTGGCATCAGCAGGGATCCAGGGCCCAGATAGCTCATCAGACTTTTAATCTAAGGTTCCAGGGTTTAAGTCCCTGTTCAGGTGGTTGTGGTAGTTGCTTGCTACCAAAGCTCGCCATGTGGCCTCGTAGGGGATCAGGCTCATGATCTCCCGATGATTCAGGCAAAGCTTATAGAGGACCGTTAAGAGCTTTAAGCATTGATGGCTGTAGGGGCGGCTATGATGATCAGAAATAAATGTATGTTACTGCATATCCACGGAGATCAAATACACAAAGCAACATACCAAAGCAACAGTCTTTGCTCACTACTTACATGCTAAATAACAAAAAAAGTCATGGGGATATCACAGTTAACCTGCTGATAGCGCCTTGCACTGTGGTCATCATTGCGAAAAGATGTTTCCATGTTCAGGAAAACAGAAAAGTTGATTAACCATTGCTCTGGATTCATTGAATAAGTAGTATATTCTAATATTTCAATTCACTTGGGTGGCTGGTAGCCTTTTGGTAGGAGAGGTTAGCCAACAACCAGAAGGTTATGGATTCAAATCCCACGATGGCTGTTTTGGTAGTATTTATACACACCTTGCTGTTTGTTACACATTAGCCACAGACGACATACGACTGCCTGCTGCAGTGTTCAAGTTGGACATAGGTGCTCATGTTGGCTTTGTTAAGAAACTGTGTATTAAATATGATTTAATGCAGTTAATCTGCTCTTCTGGAAAAGTTACATGGCTCATGATTTGTTGTTAAAGGGTCTCGGTGGGTATTTCATGTCATCTGTGCTTTCTACAAGTTTAATAGCACCATTAGTTTGAGTGTTAACATTATTATGATGTATTGTTATACATCAAATCGTGATGATTGTATCATGAGCTATTTGGCAGCAGCCGCTACTAATTACATGAGACTCTAAGTGATACGGAAAACTGTTTCTTATGAAGCTGAGCAGATATTTTTGGCATTTGAGCGCACCAGACGTCAGAGAAAAATGTAAATAACTGTGAGAGTTTTCCGTGTTGAGGTGGGGCGGCAAGGATATCTGATACGGAGTGAAACTCCGGTTTCCTGGTTTGCCCTTAGGCTACAAAAACAATGAAACGTTTCACAGGAAAGAGGCAGAAATGAAAGGCTTTACCGCTTCAGAGTTCATACAGAAAGCAGCACGACATGAGGGTTGGAGCCAAGCTTCAGTATGACTGTTAGTCTTTGGGCTCACGTTGATTGGATTTGAGTTTGGTTCTTTAGCAAATTGTGATTCAGAATTACTTTTAAACAGTACTCTGAATACACAAACGTGACTAGAGGAACACTTACTGTGAAGCCCCTCTCCGTAAACCTTTACAAATGTGCTTATAATTCTTTGTAACTTTGTAACAACGCTGTATAAGCTTGTTTATAAACTCTAATAATGCTTTATAAGGCTCTAATAACATGTCACTAATCATTACTTTAATCAACTTTTGTCCTACTATGTGCAAATATGACTAGAATACATCAATAACCTTAACCTTGCCAGACAGGAAGCAGTATATTGCGGTTGTCAGAAGAAAACCTCGTATCTCCAAAATGGTAACTTTACAGGAGAAGGAAAAAACATACCTTACTTTTAATGGAAGTCAGTGGAACCAGGCTTTTTTCTGAGTCATTTTGAGGCATTTCTTTTGGTCCATTCTTCATGATATTTACGCAAGTAAAGAGCAACCGGTATTTTCAAATTATGTCAAAAACTGAAAAACGACAAAAATGGAGATGCAAGGTTTTCTTCCGACAGCAGCGATATGTTAATGTTAACATCCAAATGTGTTTAACCTACAGTATCACTTTACTTGAAGTACTCAGTGATGGCATTTTAAGTGTTTATAATGTTTTTATAATGATTAAGTGTTATAGGTGCTTTATAACTATGTGCAGGATATTTTCTGTTATGGATGTTTGTGTTTATTTGTTGTTGTTTCTGTGGCTGCAGTACCTACAGAATGCCTAATGAAAAAATGCATCATTTTTAGTTGATTTTTATTGAATAGGATCATCGTGCTTGTTGTATTGAGTCCTGTAGTCATACTGTTATTTCACTGTTAAATTCTTGAACCGACCAGTGAAACATTATCCAATCAGGATTGTTTTCTCTGTGGTATCTAGGCAGATACAGCCAAGCGAGCTCTCCCATTGGTTAGGGCTTCAGGAGCTGGACTGAAAACCTTAAATGTTAAATTAACCACCGACATAATTAGGAAGCAACAGAGGAATCAGCCAATCACGCTCAGATTAACATAGCACTAGAAATCCCATAGGCGTGCACAAATAAGCATTAAGGGTTCTCTGGCCTGAACTGAGCTCTGAACTCGGACACTCTCCGCGTATGGTGGGTGAGTGGGTGAGTGGTGAGTGAAAGGTGTGTGTGATTCTCAGGGTGTCTGAACTTACTCCTCTCTGCTGATACGTGTGTGTGTGAGTGTGTGTGTGTGTGTGTGTGTGTGTGTGTGTGTGTGAGTGTATGTGTGCGTGTGTGCGTGTGTGTGTGTGTGTGGTGTGTGTGTGTGTGTGTGTGTGTGTGTGTGTGTGAGTGAGTGAGAGAGTGAGAGATCCAGAGGAAGTACAGACGAAACTTGACCCCACACACACTTCCTGTCTTCCTTCACTCCCCCTTCTCTCCTTATATCCCTCCATTTGTTTTCTTTTTCTCTCTCTCTCTCTTTTCCTTTCCTTTTTTCTTGCTTCTCTCTCATTTTTTTCTTTCTTTAACAACTTGTTTCTCTTCTGTAATTCTTTCTCTTTCTTCTTTTTTTAATTACTTTTCTCTATTCCGCCTTATTCCCTTATTTCTTGCTCTCTCATTCTTTTTCTTTATTTCTTTCTTTCTTTTTCTTTCTTTCTCTTTCTTTCTTTCTTTTTCTTTCTTTCATCCTTATTTCTTCTTTCTATTTTACTGCTTTCTTCTTTTTCCTATCTATCTATCTATCTATCTATCTATCTATCTATCTATCTATCTATCTCTTGTACTTGTTTTTTCTTTCTTGTTTTTCTTTTTTTTCTTTTTCTTTCTTTTTTCTTTTTTCTTTCTTTCTTTTTCTTTCTTTCTTTCTTTCTTTCTTTCTTTCTTTCTCTTTTACTTTTTTCCTGTCACTCTTCCATTTTCCTTTATTTCTTGTTTTTCATTTCTTTCTTTATTTCTTGTGTTTTGTTTCTTTATTCTTCTATTTCTTTATTTCTGTCTGCCTGTAGGCAGAAATAGGATCACACACACACTCTGTGAAAACCCCCTTGGCTGAGAGAGGTTGATGGATGGCTCGGTTGGAGAAAGAGAGAGTGAGAGCGTGGGGGATAAAAGGGAAGGAGAGCAGAATGGATGGAAGGAGCCGATAAAGAGAGAAACTACTGCACTTAAATGTGTCTGACCCTTTCATTTCTCTTCTAACTTCTGTTTCAGTTGTGGTTCCGTTCAGTTTATCAGTGCTTTATCAGCATTAATGTAACAACACACAGTTAGAACACTACAAAGTAACTCATTAACAGGAGGTTATGATTAGTAATGATATAGTTAACCACACACACACACACACACACACACACACACACACACACACACACACACACACAGTGTAGAGGACGTAACGGGGGTGTGACAGTGAAAACACAAACATTTACCCAGACTGTTCTGCATTCAGCTCATTCATTCATCTGTCAGCAGGGCCGAGTGTTGCGTCGGGGCTGCTGGGTAAACTAACGGCTCTACAGTTTTTTATTGTATTCAGAGTTTTTCTCTGCTCTTATCTGATCTACTGTCTCCACACGAGCTCCGCCTGCAGACTTTAAACTTCGTTTACATCCTCTGCTGCGTGAGCTCCTGCTCTCAGCAGATGAGATTTCCCTGATGAAGCAGTAGGAAAGGCACAATGGTGTTTGGCCTGATCTGGAAACTGCATGTAATCCTACCTGGAATTTGTGTCTCATCTGATCTGAGTATGTTGTAGGGAATTGTGGCTGATCTGGTGTGGAGGTGGTGTTTGATTTGAAAAAGGTGTCTGATCTGATGTGGAAATGGTGTTTTCTCATTCGGGAATGGAGTTGGATTTGATTTAGGAGTCATTATGTCTCATTTGGGAGCGGTGTCTGATCTGATTTGATCTGATCATTTGCATTTGGTCTGATCTGGGAATGGTGAGTGATCTTACTTTGGGACTCATGATGTCTCATTTGGGAATGGTGTCTGATCTTATCTCTGAATGGTGACTGATCTGATCCAGGAATCATGATGTCTCATTTGGGAATGGTGTCTGATCTTATCTGTGCATGGTGACTGATCTGTTTCGGGAATCATGATGTTTCGTTTGGGAATGGTGTCTGATGTCATCTGCGAATGATGACTGATCTTATCCGGAAATCGTGATGTCTCAATTGGGAATAGTATCTGATCTTATTTGTGAGTGCTGACTGATCTGATTCGGGAATCATGATGTCTCATTTGGGAATCGTGTCTGAACTTGTCTGTGAATAGTGACTGATCTGATTTGGGAATTATGATGTCTAATTTGGGAGTGGTGTCTAAACTGATCTGAACAGTTGCATCTGGTCTGAACTGGGAATGGTGTCTGATCTGGAAACAGCATCTAATCTCATCTGGCCAGCTGCCTGACTGGTCATACGGAATCACAGGGAAGCCAGTTGTCAGAAAGTAGTTCAGACGGGAATTTGGCGGTGATGATAAATGCGTCTGTGTGTTAAGGATAGCATCAACAAACCCGTTAGAGCGTCATGTTCCCTCAGGTCAGCGGCTGCTGGTCCTACATTTAGAGCTTGTGTTATAAATTACAGACTCTGTCCTTCAGCTTCACTATAAATCAGACTGGACTGTGGCCGAGTTGCTGTGCTACTTTCAGAGTTTACCTGCTGGAGGTGCGGGGGTGATGGCCTGCTGGGGGGGGGGTGGGTGGTGTTGTGTGGCCGAAGGCCGTGACCTGCATTCCTTAGACTACTTCACACAAATACACACATCACCTGTGGCTTATGACTGCTGACCTCCCGGGGAGGAGGGGGGGGGGCAGGGTTCTGTGTACACAACAACACTGACAATCCGACTCCATGACAGTGTGTTTATTGAAAAAGAGCTGCACTGAAATGTATGAATATCATATCAAAACCTTTTAACCAGGAGTGCCCAAATGTTTTGTCTTGGGGGGGCGCAGTGCAGTGTTTGTGGTGGGCTGAGGGACCATAAAGACAAAACTGTGCAATGTTCTTAAAGATGTATTTTATAACATTTCACCATAATTTATCGCTAAAATACTGCAAAAAATACTGTTTTTCAAGGAAAATATGAGTTCAATATCTCGTGTATAGTAGAAAAATATGTTCTCTTATGAGATGATGGGGTTGAGTTTCATATTGTCACATACTGACACTTTCTTACGAACCAAATCAAACGTCCACACTGCCCAGCTTTGGCCTGTGGGTCACGCTTTGGGCAGCGCTGCTCGTAACACTGTATTTTTTTCTGTTTTCATTCACACCATTTAAAAACATCAGCTATCCTTTATATTGGGTGAGTCTGTAATGGTGAACGGACCAATAGAAATGGGAATTATTGGAATAAATTTGTTGTAATAACGTGCATTAACCAATAGAGACCCCAAACAATGGTTTAAAGCACTCTGTGAATGTCTACTTCTGACTAAAGCTAATTAAAGTCAACAAAAAGTGCCATCAAGTTGGTTCTGACTCCTGGCCACTACATGGACAGTGTTTCTCCAGAATACCCTGTTTGACTCTTGAATGGCTGGTTCTTGATTCCTTTGACTGTTTCCATCCATCTTGTTGCTGGTCATCCTCCTTTACCCTCAGCTTTTTCAAGCATAATGGTCTTTTCCAATGAATTGGTCCAAAATAAGAGCTTCAGTTTGGTCATCTGGGCTTCAAGTGAGAGGTGGGGCTTGATTTGATCGAGGAGCCATTCTTTTGTTTTCTTTGCTGTTTAAAGCCTTCACCAACACCAAAGTTCAGAAGCATTATTTATTGTCCAGCTTTCACATCACAAAAAAACACAGGGAAGACCACAGCCTGGACATTCTGATCTTTGTTTGGTGAGACTAATCATTGCATTTGAAGATCTGCTCAGGCTTCTCATCCATGTTCTGCTGAGCGCCAATCTGTGTCGTATTCCTTTAGAGCTGGATCCTTTAGTGTTAATAATTGACCTGAGTAGGTAAAAGATGTCCACCAATTCTTCATCTTCTCCATTAAAGTTAGCAGTCTTTCTGTCATCATAACCTTAGTGATCTTCATACTCACTTCATAATTCATACATACACTTTTTATAGAAACCCTTCAATTTAAAACATTATGTTGATTTACTGTTTATACATAAAATATCATGGATACGTCCTTCTGTCTTTATGGGTCAGTAACGTTAGAAAAAAATGGAGCTATCATGACCTTCAACACCTATTTCCCTAAATTTCACCCCAAAGCAAGAAAAAATCAGATTTAATTTTCAGTGTTTAAAGTGGAAAAAATTGAAAATACCTCAACGTAAAAAAAACAGTGCTTGGGTCTCTGAGGGGTTTAACTGAGTTTTCACCTATAGAGCTACTGTTTCAGAGATATGGCAACAGTGACAGTGTATCAATATAGTGCTGATGTTAATGTGGAAATGATCACGCAGTGTAAAGCAAGTTCAGTGTAGCACTTTTTACTGAGGTATATCAGGTGTGAAACTCCTGCTTAAGTATTTTATGTTTACATTCTCTCAGGTTAGGTGTTTGTGTGTGTGGGGGGGGGTGTTGACACGCTGGTGTTTTGGTGTCGTCTCAGTCTGGTTCTGTAGCAGTGGCTGCGATGAGGCGAGGAAAGATCCTGTTAGAGGCTGAGAACGCACTGATCCCACCTGTCAGCACGTGGGGTGACTACAGAGTGAAGAGTGTGTGTGTGTGTGTGTGTGTGTGTGTGTGTGTGTGTTTCAGTTGGGGATTTTAAGGTCCGGCCTTTTTCCCAGCATTGCTACTTACTGCATTCTAACTCCTGTTTGTGCTGTTTGTGTAGAGATTTCTGTGAGTGATGGTCAGTCTCTCTCTCTCTCTCTCTCTCTCTCTCTCTCTCAGGGGCATTTTGTCTATTAGGGAAACTGGGCGTCGCCTACATGGTTTTGTTCTAAGTACATTTCTTTGGTTGATATTAGGGATGTAAGTATGGAGATGGGGACAGTAGCCTCAGTCCATCCTCAAGTAAGAGTGTTAATATTGGGTAGAATAATGACTGTAGTAAAGGCGCCTTCCCAAAAACATTCTTTTCAAAGTACAAAGGTAGCAGCTCGAAAACCTACTGAAGTACTGAGTAATTTAGAACCGCAGTGGAACTTCGTACTCTGTCAGCAGAGGAACTGAGGTTTGTACGGTGCTATTCTTCTCCTTTTGACATTCTTTTGGCCAATCACAAAGCACCACAGATGTTTTACCAACAAATCAGAATGAAATTAAACGCAACAAAGGAATTAGAGACTAAGTTTGAATGGCTAAAATGTAACCGATTCCTTTACACACTAATATACTTGAGTGGAAGTAAAGTAGGTGTCACTTTATTTGGATATTCCCCTATAGATTATCTACAGATGTTCAAACTGTTAACAACTCAAACTCATTAGATTTTATGTTTATTTATATTTAAATACCCAAACAGTGATTTCAGTATTTGAATACTGGCTTTCATCACAAGTAAAAACACAAATTTTAGATTTTAACAGAACTGTGAAATGGGGCAAGTTTGCTCTTATTTGTGAGTATGTACGTATATATACGGACCACTCTAGCTGTTAGTTAGGTCCAACAACAGTGAACATATTTCTCTGACAAACTAGCAGGTTGGTACCTCACTGAGGGGGAAAAGACCACCTTGAAAGAGAAAGTCCTCATCAGCATCCAAGGGGTGGAGTTTGGCTTCAATCCCAAGATAGCACTGTCACAAATATTTACACGTGATGTTGTTTTAATCCAAATCAAAGCAGTTTATAATATGGTCAGTTACTGTAAACCAACACAGGAAACCTAAGCATCTGTATTAAAAGCCAAGTGTCCCCAAACTTTTGACAGGAAGAAAGAAAAGAAAACTGCCCTTTATGTAAGTAACTGATAGGGCTGGATCTGTGCAGCAGCTGCTGAGTTCTGTTAGTTCTGAGCGGAGTGCTAACAGGAAGCTGACCCAGACCTGAACCGGACCAATGAGGCCAAATAAGGCTAAACCTGAAGCCCAGCTGGCCAATCAGAGGGCATCTCTGTACTCATCTGCCTGACAGGCTGCCTGGTTCGGCTGAATGCTGATAGGATTAACACTCATAACACCTCATCCTTTCATTCATCTCTCTCTCTCTCTCCTCTCTCTCTCTCTCTCTCTCTCACTCTGTCTCATCTAAGCACAATGAAGCGCTACTACTAATAAAAAATAATAATTAGTTCTGTTGCTTTTATACTACAGTTCTGCACAATAAAAACAAAAGTAAAGCAAAGAAGCCCTGAACATTGAATCCAATGTGCTTTAATATCAGCAATTCCTTCCATTATAAAAACAGATCCCCTTTGCGAGTGACTGTCAGGTTCAGCTCAGCTTTTTCAGCGCTGATGAAGCTAAATGTGGTTCTGTTTGTAAAGCGTTCACAGCTCATCTTGTTTGCTGAACTGTAGTCTGTTGGTTTCTGGCTGGTTTCAGTTTGTTTAATTGAACAGCTGCTGATTGAAAAGCTCACTTAGAATCAACAATGCGTTCAGAATCTAATGCAGTCTTGTGGTCACTGTGTTCTTCAGAATCTGACCAAACAATCTGCAGGTCAAATTTTATCTTATTGGAGTTAGATTGTGTGTCCGTTTTCTGTTTTTGTACATGGTAAAGTAGGAACTCTACAGCTGCAGCATAAAGCGAGTTGTTATGTGCTGAATAAACTGCTGTTATTACAGATTAGAGCTCAGTTATCTGAGCTAACTGCTGTATAATTAGTAATTAATTGATTAATAAGTACCTCTCTCTCTCTTTCTCGCTCTCTCTCTCTCTCTCTCTCAGGATTATCTGGACTGTATCAGTAATCAGGCTCGGCCATTGTTGGGAGTTGAAGACAGAAATTCACTTTTCGGAAACATTCGTGACATTTACTGTTTCAACAGGTAACAAACATACGTACACACACACACACACACACACAAACATAAACACATATGCACACATGTACATGTACAAAACCATCTAAACACATGCACACACAAAAACATGTACACATACTCACACATACACAAAAACACACACGCATGACTGACTTTGTGCTAAAATTTTACGTGTGTCTGTGTGTGTGTGTGTGTGTGTGTGTGTGTGTGTGTGTGTGTGTGTAGGGATCTGCTGCATGATCTGGAGAAGTGTAATGCGGACCCGGTCGCCATCGCGGAGTGCTTCGTAGCCAAGGTAAAGTTCAATGAGCCTGATATTAAATCTTAATAGGAGCAATAAGAAGCAGAAGAAGAAGAATGAAGACTATATAACGGAGGGAGGGAGTGACGACACACAACCTCAAGTGTTTCATTAATGACAAAGTAAAGCAAAGAATGTCCAAACATTTCATCAGTCTGTTTTAGTGTTGGCGGGTCCTTCCGCCAAAGAAAGTAGAACCTTTTTTATGGATAGAGCCATAAAACTGTCACAGTGTCAGGTTCTGCTCAGGTGAAGCTGAAACAGGTTGTGTTCCAGTCAGTCTGTAGAGTATTTCACAGCTCATCCTCTCTGCTTTATTGTATTTAGTTAGTTGACTGTTCATCTCTCTCTCTCTCTCTCTCTCTCTCTACCTGTTAGAGCTTGTCTTTTCGAACAGCTGTAGTAACACAGAAGAACGTCTTTCACAGAATGCTGTAAACACACACACACACACACAGTGTGTTTATCTGTGGTGTGTGTTTACGAGGTGTTTGAGTTTATATAATTAATGTTTGTTGTAATGTTCACAGTTTATTTTGATCGTGTTGAGCTGGTGAGGCTTATAATTCATTCAGAAATCTTGGCAGAGGCAAAACAATAGACCAAAACCGAACACTCGCAATTCTTACTGACCTAAAGCGGTCATACCGTACGCCCTGTGAGGCCTCTGCGTGTTTTTGTATGTCTACAGTAATCACTCCTTCAGTAAATGGCAGTTACACCGCAGTCACATTCCTGAGCTGAGCTTCTGTAGGGTCTGCAGGCGGGACGTGGTGAAGTACTGTGTGATATACAGCGTTGTGCTGAGGTCTTATAGAACCTCCACCCTTCAGTTGGCTGTATTTGGGCGTTACAGGAGCAGTTCCTACAAAATCAATGCGTCATGATTCCCGTCATGCAGCATCAGTCATACAGTACTGCGCTGATCCGAGAGAGGTTTGGAAATGGTAACGCTAACCTAGTGATGGACAGAACAATCACTGTTTACTATAATAATGTTTATTTGAATTCTATCTAGTAGTCACTGACAAACAATGACAATTAGATATTAAATATAAGCCGTCAGTTTAGGCCATAAATACCAAAAACTGTACCTCATTTTAATCATTTAATTAGTCATTAATTTTCTATTAATACTAGCCTGACTCAGCCATGAGCTGCACTACAGTCCCCGGCATGCACTGCAACGTAATGTGTGCTCCCACCCCGTCCCTAACAATGATCTATGAGGCCGCAGAAAAAAAATGTCAGGTGTCCAGTTCAAGCAAATGGGCAGTTTTAAAAACTTACTGTACATTGGGCACATTTAAAGAGGTCTGACAGTTTTTCTGCAGCTAATGAAGTCTAATGTTTTATATAAAACAATAGATTTTTGTCTAAAATTATTTTTTAATCGTTCAAATATTTAGTGCCTGTTTTTTCTGTCTTGGCATATTTTGAATAAAAACAGTGGCCAGTTGGGGTTTATGGCTAAATGTTAAGTAAAAATGAAATAAAAACACAGCTGGCACAGAGATTTGTTGAGATTTTTTAATATGGCCCTTTTAGTAGTCGAGTTTGACACCCCTGCTCAATGACGATGCTAATTTCTGCTAGTGTCCCTATGGGCTTTCTGTTGCACATCCACATTTCTTGGCCATTCTAGATTAAGTCTAAACATTAGAAGCTTGTAAAGACATTCTATGTGTTTTATTTGTAGCTTGTAACAGCCATTAACATATATTTGAGCTTGTATCTATCGGTTTTCACGTGACTCTTTTAGTAAAGAGCCCTGGCTAGACTACGGCTCATATTCAGTCAGTGATGTATCTAGAACTTCAATTTCACACGTGGGGTTTCCATTCTAACATTGAACAGATTTTAATCAAATGTCCGAAGGGTTGGTAGAGGAAAATGCAAATAATTCCATGGATGGGGAAACTCTTAGCTGGCACTTCCTAATGTTGGTGGTTAATCAGATCAGGCCTACAGCTCAGCTCCTGAAGTCCTAACCAATGGAAAGCTTGCCTAGATACGAGGAAAAAATCCTGAGCACAAGTTTCCAAGTGTTTCTGTAGTTTCTACCGAAACTTTTTTAATTTTTTAAAAAAGAGTTTAAATACAACAAGTAACTAATTACATTTCCAGAAATCAAGTCTTCTCTGAAGGTCTGGAAGGCATTGAGGGTTCCCCACTGCTAACGTTCCAGTTCTGTTGTGCCTTTTTCGGACCAAATTAAAGATAACTGCCCAGATAAATATCATTTATCATTCTGTTGTGCGCAGTTCTTTAGATGTGCGCTGCTGGATCTTCATTCTTCCTTAAGGGCTTTTATGTTTTTGAGTGGCAGATGGTGGTCTGTAAAAGACATAATGGGCTTTTCCTTTTCCTGCAGAGTCAGGAATCTTCACTGAAGAGCATTAACGAGACCATCCGTGCTGACCACAGCACAGAGAGACTATTACACACACACACACACACACACACACACACACACACAATATGCTTTGCTATGTATTAAAAATTTAATCCAAAGCTTTTGCCTTAATGTACAGTAGCAATATGTTGCACACACATCATCCTAATGTTAGTACAGACCAATATAAAACAACAATATAACCTTAATAAATACAGATATTAGTACTTCATGCTTATTCAGTCTTAATTGACCTGCTGTATATTTTATATATATGAAAGTTCATAAATTTCTGTTTTTACTATTAAAACATTAATGCCAATGAAGCACTGCTGAGAAAGAGAGAGAGAGAGAGAGAGAGAGAGAGAGCAGGAAGAGAATATTACTTTGATAGTGTCTTGCCCTGTACTTTTACCCAAGTCTTTTGAAGTTGGTGGTGGGGCGGGGCGAGCGAGATGCACTAAATAAAAGAGGAGAGAGTCACCAGACTGACTTTACAGTAAACAACTCATTATACTCCACTCTTGCCTTAGAGAACGGAGGATCATCGCTGTCCAGATAAAAACATTCCAAAATAGTAACTTTACAGGAAAAGGCAAAAACTTTCCTGACTTTTAATGCAGGTTAATGTAAAAAGGTTTTATTCCAAGTGGTTTTGGAGCATTTCTGTTGGTCCGTCCATCATAATTTCTTCACACAACATAAAAAGCAGCCATCAGGTTCAAATGATGTAGAAAAACATAAATCAACAAAAGTGGACACAGTGACGATACATGTCGCTGTCCAAAGAAAAACATGTATCTCCATTTTTGTCAATTTTTCCAATGTCATTTGAACACAGCATTTCTTCTTAACATTGGCTAAAATGTCACGATGGTTGGACCAATAGAAATGCCCCAAAAACAATTCGAATAAAATCTCTTATCATTTACTTCCAATAAAAGTTAAGGGCGTTTTTGCCCTCTCCTGTAAAGTTACCATTTTGGAGATGATTGTTTTTCATTAGCTCAAGTCTTTTTCACTCCCCATCTCTTTTCATGCCTCCTCTTGCTAACTTTCTCTCTACATTCCTTATTTCTGCCTTTTCTTTTCTTTGATTTGTCATGTTTGTCCTTCTTGTCCAGACAGTATTTGTGTCAATTCATTCATTGTCACGATACTCCTTTGTATATCAGTAAAACAATGTTTTTTTCTTATTTTTTCTTTTTTACAGAGTGAAGAATTTCACATATATACGCAGTACTGCACTAACTACCCGAAGTAAGTAACTCGCAAACATACCTTGTTAAAAAGTTTTGCCTGTTGGGGTCACAAGCACATAAGTGCTTGGACCCCAAAATTGCTACCGGTAGTTAAAGTGTACATGTAAATATGTTGCTGCATTTTATCCACTTTTATTCTCCACGATCTAAAACAGCACATACCTTTGCTAAATGGCGTTTCTAAGCCCAGTCGGTGTACATGTGGGAGACAAGCTGCTTTCTCTGAGTTTTAACAGGTTTACGAGTTTTAATCGTAAAACTTAAAGCTTTTTTCCAATGGGAAGAGCCTGACCTCTTGATGACCTTCAGCTGTGAGTGTGATTGTATGGACACGTGTGTCACTCTATATGTGCAACGTGGAACTTACGACTGGGTGTGTGATCTCGTCTCAGTTATATGTGTGTGCTTGTGTGCATTGTGCTGTACAGTGAAGGTAAGATTATAGCTCCATAGGTATGAATGGGTGTTTCATCTCATAGCCTGCAGCTCTTTCTTTATGTCTTATTCTCTCTATATACTACATATCAGTGGCGGAGCGTGACTATTAGAGGTAGGCCTTCGATTTTAAGCCAGAAATGTGAAAACTAGGTCAAAATCGAGAAAAAACCCCAGTTGCATTATACAGTAATTCGCATGATCATAAGACTGTCTCTATAGGGGGTTAAAATTGTGAACATTAATAAACTGAACGCTTGTGTACATTAACATTTTTGGTCTTTCTATGTTAACCTCTCAGGTCGACGATGTATGTAACATCAAAGGGCATTGTAGATCAGGGGTCGGCAACCCAAATAATAAGAAGAGCCATTTAATCCTTGGGAGCCACAACATTTTATGTCCAATGTCCATTTTACCATCTTCTCTGTAAATAAGTCTCAGTATGTGCTGATTTACTAGTATAGGATTAAAAAATATAACGAATAATATATAATAATATGTGTAATGAAAACACAGACTTACTTGTTCAAAATTACCCGTTCCACCTTACGTGCTTGAGGCGCCAGAATATAACTGCTGCACCATTTAAGGTGGAACGGAAAAATACGAATGAGAAGCTGACAGTTTGTCATTGCAGATTAAACGTATCAGGAAACCAGCTGGAGTGATTATAAAAGCAAATAAGTCCATTTGTCTCCATATTATCGATGCTTGTCTTAAATCTTTCTCTTGGCCTTTTCGTTAGCTACTAGCTAGATGAGATTGTTTGTCTGTGTTGCTATGGTGACCAGCAGTCTGTGCACCAACATTTATAGCAGTTCTACATTAACTTCAGCGTTTAAGACCATTTATTGTTAAACTGTGTTGAACGTTCGGCAGAGCAAAGGAGGATTATTTTATTTTTACCTCTGTTGTAGATAAAAGAAAAAATATTTTTGTGAACGCTGCATGCTGGAGATGTACTTTCATTTTGCCCGTTGCTCCGTCAATAAGTCAGGTACACAGCCTCTGATTGGTCGACAGCCTCGACCCAAGGTCGTCAGTGGATGGCTAACAGCCATGCTAACAGCAACAGTAAGGATCGCAAAGCTGCCGAAAGGGATACGATCGCACCGGACCCTCAGTGAAACTGCAAAACACTAGCCTTCTCTGAAAAAATAACAGTAAGTCTGTTGCATGCAGCGTTCCCAAAATGTTTATTCTTTTATGTACAACAACCTTTGATGTTGTATACGACCTCATCAACCTGGGAGGGGTTACAGTACAAAGAAGCTTACAGTACACAGTTTGCAATGCACATTAACATATTTGAGCTTGTATCAGTTTTACAGCGTGTTATTCAGTAAAGAGTCCTGATATAGAGCTGCCGCTGCTGTTATCCCTTCCTAACAACTTACTCAAACCTGCTTAGACTCGTATTCACTGTTAGTGACATATCTAGTGTGTTGGTTTGTGGCAAAATATTTAGAGAATTTCATACCAGTCAGCTTAATAACTTCTAAAAGAAGTTTGGATGGGAACCTGTAGGATAATTTGATTAAAGATGTTAGCGAACATTAGGACCCCCACCCCAAACCTTGTACCCTGCACTTCTTTCTGTTGTTATTTAGGCACTATATAAGTACATTGTTAACTTCTTTCTATTTATTACAGTCACTGTTTGAAAATGTCAGTATTTTATTGATTATTTATTTGCTCTGTCAGCTGCCACAGATATTAATCATTAAACTTAACTTAAAATCTCGACGTTTTACAAAATGCACATCATCCCTTTGACTTTATGATGTATCAGGTGAATTTTCTACTGCATATGTACACCATTTAGATGCTGGTTGAATTTGCTTAGTCTCTGTATTGGTAGGTTTTTTTAAACATTACTGCCTAAAATCAGCACTCTGGTGTTTAATGTGAGGTGCCTGAATTGGTCAGTAATGCTGGGCAGTATAGTCCAAATGCATAGTTGACTCCGGTTTGGGCTGTGAACCCTGAGACCTGACAGATATGTATCTTTTTACTTTAAAAGGTCTTGTTTCCATACTTTTGGCCTGTATTACTTCATCATTAGTTCCCTTTAAGCACCGTCCTCCTGAAGATCAGACTGGACATGCCTTTCTATCTCAGTATAACAGAACAGCCTTTAGGCACTTCCACAGAAAACTTGGCCTCCTGTTGGAACTGCGCTGGAATGATGGTTGTATTATGGGATGGTTGAGTGGTATAGCAACCATGGTTGCCATACAAATTCTGTAGCCAGAGTTAGGTCAGCGATTACTGCGTGTGTGTTTATGAATAGTCTCTTGTCTGGACCGAGACTGAGACCCTTCACCCCACACACCCTTTCACAGCTGGTGACCCTAATGAAGGTCACATGGCGTGCCGTCGGTCTTTTTTACACACACACGCACGCACACACACACACACACACACACACACACACACACACACACACACATTCTGAGTACAGTAGTGCTCTGAAGACACTGGCTGTGTCTGAACTGCACTCAGGTCAGATTTCCAACCGGGACAATGTGGTGTCTGTGTGCAGGACGCGACTGGAATGCACACATGGACGTTCACACACACACACACACACACACTGGGTTGCTGAGGCGTGTCGAGTCAGTGCGGCAGATCCAATAAGCAGTAAAGTCAGAGCATTACCAGCAGGGTCTGACCTCACAAACTGCCCAGTAGGGTCTGTACCTGTGCAGAGTGACTGTATGAGTAATGATCGTGTGTGTGTCAACTGTTTGGTCAGGGTTCGGTCAGGTTCAGGCACCATTTCTCAAATATTTGTCAGGTTTGAGTCAGGTTCAGATTTCAAGTTAGGGTTCCTCACAGCCAATTTTCCCTTCCTTAATCTTAGTAGTGTGATTTCTAAATGCACAATAAGATAATCATATGCTTAGATGGTCAGCTGCGGTCGGGTTCACACAGAATTTGGACAGCGGCCGTTGGGTTTCACACAGAATTTGGTCAGCTACGGTCGGGTTGATCAGATTCGGTTGGGTTCAGACAGCATTTGGTTACACGTGGTCATGTTCTGACAGAATTTTGTCGAGTTTGAATTAAAAACTTGATGCTGATATTCGGGTCAGACAGAGAATGTTCTCGGGCTATAACGGGGTTTGGACCAAAATGTATGAGTATATGAAGAATAACTCTGTGTGTGTGTGTGTGTGTGTGTGTGTGTGTGTGTGTGTGTGCAGGTCAGTGGCTGTTCTCAGCGAGTGTATGCGGAATAAGGCCGTTGCAAAGTTTCTGCGTGAGCGTCAGGAGAGTCTGAAACACTCCCTGCCCCTCGGCTCCTATCTGCTCAAACCCGTCCAAAGGATCCTCAAATACCATCTACTACTACACGTAAGAGTCGCACACACACACACACACACACAAACACACACACACCTACACACACACACCACACACACAAACACACACACACCAAACACACACACACACACCAGTCTGGAGGATCCTCAATCCCCATCTACTGCTACACAAAGTCACACACACACACACACACACACACACACACACACACACACACCGTCTGGAGGATCCTCAATCCCCATCTACTGCTACACAAAGTCACACACACACACACACACACACACACACACACCAGTCCACAGGATCCTCAAATACCATCTACTGCTACACATACATTGTGCTTATTAGGTGCTGTTTACTATGTCCAGCAACACTCATTGGCCATTTTATCAGAAACACCTTCCGAATTGGTCCACTTTGTAGGTTTATAGTTACAGACTGTAGCCCTTCTGTTACTGCACAGCCTACCAGCCCCCTCCACCCTGTCCATCAATGGAAAGAGACCACCACAGGACCACCACTGACAAGACATTGTTTGGGTGGTGGTGCGTTCTCGGCACAGCAGTGACACTCATATGTCGGTGTGTGTGGTGCTTCTCTGAGAGTATCATGCACAGCTGGAGGGGTGTGTGTGTGTCTGTGTGTGTTGTGTGTGTTGTGTGTGTGTGTGTGTGTGTGTGTGTGTATGCGCTGATCTGAGAACAGCTGCTCACTGTTGCTGTGTTGTGCAGGAAATCGCCACTCACCTGGAGAAAGACTCCGAGATGCATGAGGTGGTTCAGGAGGCCATCGACACCATGCAGAGAGTGGCCTGGCACATCAACGACATGAAGAGGAAACACGAGAACACCGTCAGACTGCAGGTAGCATGTTTGTTACATGTACAGAAGCATCTACATGTGATAATTGGATAATCAGTAGTTAGTCTCGATTATTTGCTTATGTCATATTTGCTATAATTTGACCCTAAAGAGAGAGATTTTCTATTTAAAAACAGTGTTGTAGCTATAAAAGTGGACAAAATAAACTTCATCAGAACTTCCTTCAGTAATTCAACTTGAACCTGAACAAAAATCATACGAATGCAAAAATCATACAATTGTCTGATTAATCTGTGATTGTAGCCTGTCGCTCTCGTACTGCTGTTAGGTCTTGTTTCGAGGGGAGCTGGAGTTCACTTTGCTGTTGTTTTTGTTAGTTTGCGGGTTGCTGATGTATCCATAGGTCTCCCACGAGCACTGACCAGCACTAATGGTCCTTATATTACTGATATTGCAAGGGTCAGTGCTGTAATTTCCTTGTAAATGATACTTCAAACTCAACGTACTTCAGCCGTCTACAGAGTCACAGCATTGCAGTAGCTTGAAATGGCTTATCAAGACAGCCATCGATGGCATTTATGAACTGTATTTGAACAAAAGAACTACAGTCATAGCAACAATGCACTGCAGCTGGGCTTCATGGACCAATAGAAACTGTCCAGAATTACTTAAACTGAGATTTTGTTCCTTTAACGTCTGTTGACGGCTAAAATGTTTTTTTTTTTCCTTCTCCTGCAAAGTTAAATTTTGGGGACACAAGGTTTTGTTCCTACAGCATGACATATTAGCATCTATATATAACAAGAGTTAATATCCTAAACCAAATATTAACCCTCTATTGCATAATGTTGCCTCAGGGCAACAAACTCGTTTTCCTCCATTTACAATTACATGATTATGAATATATTGTGATAATTTAATCCCAATGAAATGTTTGATTAGTAACAAAGGGAGGAGTCTGAATAAACCAATAAAAAGTTTCTACTTGGTCAAAAGTGGGTCCTGGTGGATATTTTTAAATGTCTTTTGGCATGGCGTGGCTTGTGGATGCCATGTTTCTGTCCCAGGCAGTTACCTTCAAAAAATTAATTTCCCCATTTTTCTCTCTTCTATCCATCTGTTGGAGTGTGAAGTCATTTCCTTCTTAGCATTTATTATCATGTAAATGATTTGAGTTTTGCTTAAACATGTATGTTGCCTAGAAGCAACACTGTTCAAGAGTGAAATGGATATAGAAATATAGAATAAGTTACTCAGTTTCATTCCAAATACAGTACAGAGCAAAAGTTTTGGGCAACTTTTATATATAAAATCATATTTAAAAAAGCAGCTTATTTGGGCATTATGTGTTTACTTGCTCAGAAAAGCATGAATGTTACAATAAATACAAATAACACAAATACAGAATGTAGTCATTTTTTAAACAGTACTGCCACAGTGTGTGCAACAGAGGGTTAATCATAGGAATTAAAAAGTCAGGAGTATTTTGTTGATTCCAGAACTGTTTTTCTTTGGTTGGGACATTTTTGGCTCCTTTGCCTTTTTAATAAAAGCAGGTTTTAGCAGTGGGAAAGGCATTTTTCCTCAAAGAGCAGCCAAATGTCCCCACAATGTTTTCATCATCCTGGGGGTATTTGGTCCTGGGTGTGAATTACATGTTGTGAATGTGTGTGTGTGTGTGTGTGTGTGTGTGTGATGGATGTTTTAATGACTTTAACGTGAACGAGTCTGACTCTGCTCGTTTATCTCTTCTACCTTCACCTTACGCAACCAGCAATCAACCAGCTGATAATAAACTTACATAACATCACAGACGCTTCTTTTACTACCTCACGCACACACAATTACGCACACACACAAAAGCAGTAGGAGTGTGTCAAGTGAAATGTCAGGAGTCGCAACCTAAATGTTAAGAAAAGCCATTTTCTCCTTTCAACAAAAATCAATCCACCTTTGGAGCCACATTTTATGTCCATTTTACCATCTTGGCTGTAAATATGTCTCAGTATGTGTTAATGTACTAGTATAGGCTAAAAATATAATATAAACCAAAACACAGACTTACTTTGCTGAGCTTTAAGCTTTAGATCAGCTGTAGCCACTTTTCCCGCATCTCTCGTTTGAATTTTCCTGTTCCACCTTAAATGGTGCTTGAGGCGCCAGAATGCAACTGGTACACCATTTAAGGTATGATATGGTACCAGTCCAATTTTTTTACCTTAATGTGAATCAGATCTGATATTTTCAGGGCTGCGTGGACACACAAGGCTGATCTTTTCAAATCAGATCTAAGCCACTTTCATATGTGTTCCTAGATTAGATGCATGTCAGTTTTGTGGCTGTATGAGCTTAATGGGAAAAGGCACATTAAAATCTTTTGATTCCTTTTTTTATTGTATTTGCACAGTGTCTCCATTTTCACAGCAGCCATAAAATGCAATTTCTGCCTGCTTTTTCACAGCAGAAGATTTTCATCCCTCCCTTTTTACTCCACGTTGCTCACTAGCAGCTCAACACAGACTCACAACATTTCACACACAGAGAGACAACAGTGTCCCAGTTCATCTGATAACAGAGTTACAGGGCCAGAATATTTTATTAGATCATATTGATAAAAAATGTCCCAGTCGATTTCCGGTCCACTGGTGGAATGGCCACAAGGGGGCACTGCAGAAAGAGGTTAACATGGCAGGCCAACTATATATACCAGTAAACGCTGCAAAATCAATGCATCTGAGCTTTTTTCACCTTTGTCTGTCTCTAATAATGAACAGCTAAGAGTGCTGATCATGAATATCAGCCCTATCAATAAAAATGATAATGCAATCAAATGTAGCAATTCAACTATTAAGAGAAGCTAAGAGATAATAACTCTTTCTTTCTTTCTTTCTCTCTCTCTCTCTCTCTCTCTCTCTCTCTCTCTCTCTTGCAGGAGATCCAGAGTTTGTTGACCAACTGGCAGGGTCCTGATCTGATTGGCTATGGTGAGCTGGTTCTGGAGGGAACGTTCCGGGTTCAGAGAGTGAAGAACGAGAGAACGCTTTTCCTCTTTGATAAACTGCTCCTCATCACCAAGAAACGGGAGGAAACCTACACATACAAGGCACACATACTGGTGAGGGTACAAAAATACAAAGAAAACATCCACATCTGGGCTGATTTGCCAGATTATTCTGTAAAATCTGCCTTGTACCTGTACGCCATTTTAACACCTACTGTATAGCCCACCTGTTGCTACGCCGCACTGACAGGTATTTGAGACCACCCCGGCCACTTTATTATAAAGCCCTCTCTTGTAGTGCCGCAGTTTGTGTTAGCCATCCTGTAGTCAATATTCAGTTCAATCAATATTCAGTGTCTGACCACAGAGCCCCTCTTGGCTGGATATTTTCAAAGTGTTTATACAACAGATCTGCAAAATAAAGAAAACGCTAAAACAACAAAGCACCAAATATTGTACCCAATGTGCTTTAATATCAGCAATTCCTTTTGCCTAAAAAGTAAAACCCTTTTGCGTTTTGCATACAGCCGTAAATATCAGGTTCAGCTCAGCCTTTTTAATATTTTCCAGATGAAGCTGAATGTGTGGTTGTTCCAGTCAGCATGTAAAGCATTTCACAGCTCGTGTTTCTTGCGGAATTGTAATCTGTTCATTTCTGGCTGATTCCAGTTTGTTTAGATGTTCCGCTGCCATTTTTTCAGTATTCAGTGTGTTTCAGGAGACTCACTTTCAGCTTCTCAAAGAAATCCGCAGACACACCTTCCACACCTCCTTTTCTCAGTGAGGTTCTTCTTGAACAGCTACACATCCTTTCAGACCCACAGCGCTGAGTCGTCTTCTCACAGTGGAAGGATGGACAGAAACACCTGTGGATGTTTTCAGATCTGAAGCAGCTTGATTTTCTCCTCTCTCTCAGAGATGAAAGCTTTAAGTGCTGTTTATCTGATGGGGGCAGTTTTGGTGTCTACCAGGTCTTCCAGGTGGTCGTTAGGAGCCCCATTTTCTCTGTAGCTTTTAATCAGTTTTTGAACTTCCAGTTTTGGAAACTCCTGGTTTTTCCACTTTGACTTTCTCCTTATTTTCACTTTATTTTATACCAATAAATAACTCGGACTTAATGGCAGCTTTGAAAATGAATGGTAGTGTCTGGCACATCAGACTTTTGCAATCAGGACATGATTATGGTGCTATTGTTCATCTCTCTCTTTCTCTCTCTTTCTAGTGCTGTAACCTGATGCTGGTGGAGGTCATTCCTAAGGAGCCCCTGAGCTTCAGTGTTTTTCACTATAAGAACCCCAAACTGCAGCACACAGTGCAGGTAAACAACACACACACTCTGGAATGTCCTGCCTAAGGGTGTTTTTTTTAGATGGATGGGCCAGTGCAGTGAACTTTAGCCTAATAACACCACACCCCTGCACTCAGGAACTCCAGCACGTCTGTCTGCGTGGGTCCAGCCTGAGGCCAGAACTGTTATAACTGACCTACAAGTCTGAACCGTCACCTGACAACTAAAAACATGAGCCTGTGTGTGTGTGCGCGTGTGCGTGTGCGCGTGTGCGCGTGTGTGTGGCTGAAGCTCTTTTCTGTCTGTCATCACATAAGCCAATAACAGTAAACCCATCATTTCACCTGCGCTTATTAATCCATGTTTATAGCAAACAGTTTCTCTGGGAACCCGTTTGCCTTGTTATTTTATGAATATTATTTCATGGTCGCTATGGTAAGTTTTCAAGTTTGTTCGAGCCCTCGCTTGTTTGCTTTTGTTTGAGCAAAACGTCCCGTCCCATCCTTTGTCTTCTTTTCAATGGACTCATTACCGTTAGTGCCGTTATGTAACAAATGATGGAAGTTGGATTGTTTATTTCTTTGTTCTCACTGGTCAGCCTGCAGTGTGTGTAGCTGCTCTGTTTTAGCTGGTTATGTCTCTGTTCAGCTGTTTGTGCTGGTCAGGTTGAGGTGAGGGGAGTTAATCTGGGACACTGAAGCTGCAACTCAAGCAGTGCATCAGCCCTTCTGGACCGGGGTTATTATTTTAGTTTATTTCAGTTTAGTTTCAGTTTTAAGAGTTTTCGTTTTGTTTTCAGGTTCTGAAGAGTTTTAGTTTTAATTTTTATACAGTCAAGTTGTTGTTTTGGGTTCTAGATTGGTTGTCTCATTCTGATGAGTTTTGCAATACTAAAGTGGCAAAACAGTAGACTGTGCTTAGCTAGGATCCTTAAAGACCATCACCATTACATTTCTAGACCCTCCTCGAACTGCAAACACAAAAACTATTGTAACTGTTGTAAAACTATTGCACTGTTTAGTTTATCATTTCATAGTTTAGTTGCTATAGACATGAAATTATACCATTCATTTAGAAAATAGGACAATTTTATTACAGTTAACAGGTGAATTTATTCACTGCTAGTTTTTAGTTTAGTTCTCACTTTCATTAAAGGTAATAACCCTGTTCTGGACTTTAGTAGGTCGAGGAATAGTTTCCTTTAATGTCAAAGCTCAAATACTTAGATGGTGATGTCACTGAGTAATAGTAATGTAATGGTGATGGTCTGTAAGGATCCAAGCTGGGCACAGGCTACTGTTACGCTACTTTAGCATCACAAAACTCATCGGAATGTAACAACCAATCTGGAACCTGAAAAAAAACCCCTAAAACTTAAACTGTATGAAGTTTAGTGGCTGATAATGAAGAAAAAGGTTTTAATTGTCTTGCTTTTCTATGTCAGCTTGTTGTCGCTGCATAAGTACAGTTGAGCACAAAAGGGTGGGAGTGTCACAAACACCCTCACTGCTGTGATTTGATTGTAGTAGATCATCATAGCCATGATATTATTTACTTGAATGGTTATTTGAATGGTTTTATACAACGTTTTTTTGAAAAGTAAACCAAGTTTGCCCCTGAATATTGCTTTAATATTGGCAGTTTCTTCTGCCAAAAAGTCGTTCCAGGACGAATCTAGCAACCAATTACAGGATTGATGCACGAATGCTGAAAGAGGTGCTTCACATTTACACCATCCTGTGCTTTGTTAGTCCAAACTACTCTTGAGCTAAAGTACTGCCAGAAACAAGAGCCGGTGCTGGAAAGAAAGCTACAAAATACAGCACATTTTAAGTGCTAGATTAGTGGTCATTCAAGGGCTTCACAAGGAGATGGATCTTCAGTCTGCATTTGAAGGCTCAGCTGGTGGAGGTTTGTTGGGTGCCAGGACTGAGAAGAGTCTTGATGCTTGTTTTCCACACGTCTTGAAGAATAGTAGGTCAAGCCGAGCCATACCCAAAGCTAGATGGGCGTGATTAGGTTTTGACGTTGCCGTTAGGTAGGAAGGGGCTGGTGCATTTTTTGGCTTTGTTGGCAAGCATCAGGGTTGTATATCAGGAAGCCAGTGAAGGGAACACAGCACTGGAGTGACAGAAGATCGAAGACAAGCCATGCTGCTGCTTTCTGGATCAATTACAAGGGCTGCAGAGACCAGATGTCACAACATGGGCAGAATGCTTTTCAGCCAGGAAGACTGTGGTATAACAGTCAACGTCAAGATATTTGGTGGGATGATGTAACTGAAGATGTTTTTCTCAGGTTCACTCTGGCTGTAGTTACTGGTCTCTGCCTGCAGGGCAGCGTGATGAAGCTAAGGCACTGCTTTTGATTGATATGCTTGGTTCTTGTCTTCCATGTCGGGTCAGAGTAGTTGTTTTTGCTACAGGCGTTGTGTGTTTGTCTCCGAAGTTTTAAGCATTTGCCTTCTGCTTCCACCTCCAGGCCAAGTCACAGCAGGACAAGCGAACGTGGATCCAGCACCTAAAAAGACTCATCCTGGAGAACCATCCTGCCAAAATCCCAGCCAAGGTCAGGACACATAGTGCACATACCCACCCCTTGCACTTGTTTAAATAAATAGTCTCAGACTTCTGTTCTCTCTTTTGCTCTGTTCTTGCCCTCAAAATGTTTTTTTTATGTCATCGCCAAGACATGCGTCACACCTATGTTACATTAAGTGACCACTTGCAGCAGAACAGGAGGAGAGGATAGTATTATACTAATGGAACACAGTTGACTTCAGCTATGTTAGCATCAGTGAGCTAATCGGCTAGACATGGAGACTCTGCAGTGCTTTGTTGAGGATATAATATCCACAAAATTTGTGAATAACTGATTTGCCTGGCTATAAACTTTACTGCCTTGCCTTTCATTTTGTTAGTGTAGCCTTTATCCTGCTAAATAGCCAGCTAGCACAATAAAGTGATAAAGTTGTATCAGCACTCATGTATAACGGGTGGGGTAGTTTGTAATCTAAAGCCCACCAAATTGAATGTTAAGCATTTTCAAGTAGTTTATAGCTGGGGCTTACATACATACAGCTTTGTCCACCATTAGTTTAGGGATTGAAAAGAGATATGCAATGATTTCTGGGCAAGTTCTGCTTTTGTGTTCTTACATTTGTGTTCACTTGATTGTTCACCCATCCAAGGGCTCATCTAACACCCTTCTCTTGAGCTTATAAAGCATGGAATGGCCCTTAATATAGCGCTGGGGATTCCCCTGAGAGGAAATGGTGAGACCAAGTGGACAAGGGCTCGTTGAAACCATTAGTGAAATGATCACCGAGATTTAAAGAAATTAAACAGTAATGAAGCAGCAATGCTGTTAGTAGAGATTGTAAGGTCACAGCGCCACCCAGTGCCCAAAAGCTACACAAGAAGCTGGTACATTCGGTAGTGGTACAGTTGCCCCATGATTGCAAAACATCACAGCACAAGACATTTTATTGCTCCACTGTGATTTTTCGTGCATTTGGAAACAAGAAAGCTCCGGACAAAAGGATCAGCTAAATAACCTACACTAAATGCTGCAGCAGAGTACAGGACTTTTCATAGAGCAGTTCTCACCCAGTTTATCTGACCCCATTCCTAAAATAAATGTACGGCTGCATAAAGTACTCTCCTAAATGAATTTTCCTCCCCTGACGTAAATGACGTCCTCTAAAACCTAAAAGAAGTGCCCCAAATAAATTCTGCCCTAAAACTTGAAGAGAAGCTCTGGTTTCTAGGCTGCAGACTAAGCCTTAGCCTAGAAAGTATTTTCAAAAGGGTCTCACATACAGGGCTGATAGGGCTACCTTTATGATACCAAATGACTTCAATACAACAGACTATTGAAAAATTAATTGCAAAATCCAGACTGCTGATTGGCTGTCTGTATCACATTCCATATGTATGTTATTAATATCAGCACTTCTTGATAAGTCTTCAGTTCGTTACATGAGTAAATGATCCCACTTCCTGCTAGTAACACCTCATTTTTTTCTTTAGGCCACACCCACTTTCAATTTTTGATTTAAAAGAAGGTATTCAAAAAATTCTGTTTATCAAAAAGTTCCACAATACCCAACCCTAATCACCAACCATCACAGAAAGGGGAACCCATTAATGTTGCAATTTTGATATGAAAGAAAAGAGTAGTAACTTCTTGCTGTTTCCTTCTGTAGGCTAAGCAAGCCATTCTGGAAATGGATGTGCGTAAGTATAACCTTATTTCTGCTAGTGCAGTGAGTTCTGGCATCATTACTTTTTGATATATTTGACATAACATCCTCACAAAAATATCTCATATTGTCTTTGAGTGGCAAGAAACTGTCAAAAATTTGTGAAATTTGTGAAAGTGGTGAAGAAACTATATTTTAGTTTAACATATTTTTCCCCTCTGTCTAGACCACCCAGGCTTGCAGTGTAGCCCTGAGGGCCAAAACAGAATCAACCTTAAAGAAGGCCCCTCCCCCAGGAGAACCCGCAGGAAGACAGGTTAGGCTCACAGGAAGTAGAATAAGCCTAAGTGACTGCACACTTGTGTGACTAAATAGATTATACTATTTACTTTTTACTATGCTAATGATTTGCTTTTCTCTCTCTGTGCCTAGAACCCTTATCCAAATTGCTCAAAAACAAGCACGCAAGTAAGTAGAACTCTTGTTTTATTTGTTTTGCTTGTGACTGACTATAAGAATGCTATTTTATATCTGATGTGATTATTAAGCAAATATCTCGCTTTCGATTATTTTTTTAACAACAGTATCCAGTCCAGATATACAGAAGGTATGTTCCATTTCACTTATCAGAGTCTTTCATAAAACCATAGTTGTTTTAAAGTTAGCATGTTAGCAATACAACTAAAATATATTTAAAAATATTTATAGTAATTTCGGTTTCTAATCTATTGTTCGGACCTGTTATAGCGGAGCAGTTTTGGAGCCACCCTGCTGTCTCCTGTGGTCCATCTGGGCACCATTGGTCGATCCCGTAGCCTCGTTAACCAGTCACAGGAGTCGTTAGACCCTGGGGACCACAGTGATGTAGAAGAGGGGTTACATCCACAGGATGCTGATGATGAGGATGACAGTGGACTGGTAAGTCTCAGTTTGACCTGTAGCGTTTGGTCTTTAATAAAGTATTGTAAGGCATAGGGTTCTTGGTTATGTAATGCAATGCATGTCTATTTTGTTAGCTGTATATAAATATATACGACTGTTCAGAAACAGAAAATATGATGGTGGATTGTGGTGGATGCTTGATTTGGGCCTACAAATGTCATATGATATTTTTCATCTGTGACGATTGCCGTAAGAGAATCAATGTGTAAAATAGTTTCGGAATCTTGCAGCATTCTTTGCATATTATGTTTTTGGGAATGCAGGCCTAATCCTTCTGTATGTTTGTATGTTTAGGGCTCTGGAGGGAAGCTTCGTGTACCTGGAAAGACCAGCAGGAAAAGGCTCAACCCACAGGTGTCAGTGGACAGCATCGACCGGTGGAAGAACCACAACCTTGACCATGCTGATCTACAGGTGGGGCACTTGCAATGAGTCATATGCAAAATATGTGCAGCATGTAAAACAATGTTACAGCAGAATTTATGTTTAAGTCTGGGTTTCTTTCACAGGCAGCCAAAGAGTCTCTGCAGCTGGAGGCAGTCCACACTCCCATCCTACAGGTGACATGCCCTGCTGAACCACCTGCTGATGAGCATATTTCCCATTTCTTGGGTACCACTGGAGGGCATTCTGTCCCAAACATATGGGCAGACCACAGAGTTCGCCGAGCCATGTTTCCCACTCGACAAAAGACCATCCAAATTGATGATGATGAAGACATCTATCAGATGTTTGTGCCCACTGAGAATGATACAAGTGGGCAGGATGCAGAAAGTGATCATGATACCACCGATGATCCTCCTGGACGACCCTGCAGCTGGCATGTTGAGCAAACACAGACGATGCAGTTAGACCTTCCAGCCAGTGGCAGTAGAGTGCTACGCAGGGCTAGCAGTGTTGGAGAGAAACAAAGTGAGCGACAAAGCCCTACAAAGCAGTCTGTCCATGAAGAAGAACATAACACTGAGTCATCGAGTAACGAGATATCTGGCTCTTCCTCAGCCGAGCAGCTGACGATTGATGACATTGAGAATGTTTACGATAATATTAGTTATGAGGAGTTGCAGGCCATGGGACTGATTCGGAAGGAGCAGGAGGTTAACCGTGCTTCTGTAGTCGCAGAGCCCAAACCTGTTGTGCCTCCACAAATTTTAGTTTCTCCAGTGGAATCAGAAACCTCATCTGAAAGCAACAGGTCCTCCGGCCAAGAGGGGGCACCATTTGGAACTAGTGACCTGCAGACAATGGAGGAAGAAAACATCTATGATACCATTATGTTCTGTGAAATGCCAGCTTCTTCCACTGAGTCAAAGAGAGGAAATGGACAAGTAGTTGAACAAGATAACCAGCTGTTGCCTGGGATAGACCTAACTGTTAATCAGAGCACAGGCACAAGTGTTTCAGAGGAGAGCCTAAATCTAGATATCAGCAAAGGGGCAAATCGACCCCTTCCAGAAATTCCAGTTGTATCAATTACGGAGATGGACAGTGATTCGTTAACTTCAGATACGCCATCACAACAGTCTGTAGCTGATCGCATGTCAGAACAAGTGGACGAAATCTGGAATGATCTGGAAAACTACATCCGGAATAATGAAAAGAAACCAGACAAGCTTCCTGCTGCATTTCCTGTCAATGGACCAGAGTCACCACGCAAGACATGCAGTTCCCAAAATAAAACACACAACTCTCCAGACAAATCATATAAGCAGTCAAAATCTCCAACCAAAGCATACAAATCTCCACAGAAAGCACAAGAATCCCAACAAAAAACTCATGATTCCCCACGCAAGGCACATCAATCTCCAAGCAAGAAATGTAACTCTGGAAGCAAGGACGTTGACTCTCCTCTCAAACCACCCTCAGAGGGTGTTAAGAAAGTGAAGAGAACCGCTGCATCACCCAGCCCTCCAGTTTCCAAACCCATTCCAACCTTCCAACTCCCAGTCCTCAGTGTTCCCAAACTTGTGCGAGAGCCTACGTTTGAGATAGATGAGCCGGAATCCCCTCCATCTCCTGCTACACCTTCAGTTCCACAAGTTTCTAGCCCAGAACCCCAACCTGGAACTGTCAAGAGCATCCGGAACAAACTTGCCAGACTTAGCAGTGGAAGTTTCCGAATGGACGATGAGGACCCTCCTCCACAAAAGGACCCTGAGCTTCAGGCACTGTTTAGTGGTTTGGATCCTTCTCTCCTTCCTTTGGCACCCTCTGGTATTCTACTTGGTGGGGAAGCTGGGGACCAGCTGCTTGAATTAGGGGAGAAGGGTAAAAACAGAGTCTACCTCATGGCAAGGCAGTACAGTCAGAAGATCAAAAAGGCTAATCAGCTGCTGAAGATGAAGAGCATGGACCATGAGCCCAGTTGTGCAAGACTCAGGACAAACAAACCAAAAGACCTGGCTGCCATTCTGGAAGAGAAAAAGCAAGGCGGGGCAGCTATAGGTGAGCTTATAGCTGTACTTGATTTCCTGTAGCCATTTGTTGCCATTCATTCTCTTGCTTACCTGGTTACTGTTTCAGTATTTTTTTTGTCTGAACTTTTCATATTTGAAAGTTTTAGTTTTAGGTCCAGGATTTTGTAATCACTGCTATGTTATAACTGAACTGTTGGCCATCTAGTATCATACCTACCAGTGACCCAAAACTAGATTCAGGGTCTGGACTTGAAAACCTTTCATTTAAGTACTTAATTGTGCAGAATCTATATATTTATATGCCAGTTTCTTACAGATCGAACTAGACACCAAACTCTAGTAACTTTTGTTTTAAAGCCATATTTTTCCTCTGATGTTTTCCACTGAATATCTGATGCCCTTTTCTGTCCATTTGCATTGTCTTAGGAGCAAGAATAGCTGAGTATTCTCAGTTATATGAGCAGGTGATGTTTAAGGAGCCTCCCACCACTCCTCCAGTGCTGAAGTCCTCAGTCAGCTTTGCAGGCCCTCACCCACTTTCTGCTCGTTCAAGCCCAGGTTTGGCTTCCTCTCCCTCCTTACCTGAGAGCGCCACCCTGGAGGCTGACTGGTTCAACTGCACCTACAGCAATGGTGAACTTGCTGACTTTGTGTCCTGGCCCGCTGAAGTTGGAGGAGGGCGCTCTTCGACTCCTCAGCGAAAGCTGACTTCTGCCACCTCTGTCCCTGCCCTGAAGAGCCTTCCACCCACTCCGAGCACTCCACCCAATCAGCGCTGGAGTGCCTGTGTGACTCCACCCAGCAAGGATGATTCTGAGCACATTTACAGCACATTGGGACAGCGCAACTTTAAAACTCCACCTTACAACCGTTGCCAGTCCTCGTCATCATTGGCTGAGCAGCAAGAGAAAGAGAACAGTGGGGGTACAGGTAATAGGGGATTGGACAGACACATAAATCATTCAGGGACTAACGCTGCAGGGCGTGGTCTGGGACCTCGGCAACACAGCTTCCCTGAATGTCCTGCCCAGATGACCACTGATCACTCCTCATCATGTGACCTCACACTGAGGGACTCTCAGCAAGTGCTGGTTTTGAATAGGAAGTCACCCCTGAACGCACTCAGTGCCACACAGAACTACCTGGCCAACTTCAAGGACAACGAGGAAGATGACGATGATTATGTTGAAATCCGATCGGAAGACGAGAGTGAGGACAGAAATAGAGCGCCCCCTGTCTCTGCCCAGCTGCAGGGCGGCACAAATGTAGCCTTGCAAACCCATTTGGCAACGGGACAAGAGGCTTCAGGAAGCTTTGACTCAGCACTGCATGGCTACATGTGGAATGACCCAGATGATGGCCAGCAAGGTCTAGGTCAGCCCAAAATCGTCCAGTCTCTGCGAGACAAGTTCCAGTGTCTTAGTTCCAGCAGTTTTGCGTAAAGCCCAGAGTACACAGACCTAATGTTCTTCAACAAACCCAAACATTGGGTTGATGTGATATGCCTGCACGTTGGGAGTCTCTAGAATGTTCTTCCTCATTCACACTGTTCTACACTCTTTAAAAATGGTTACTATTCTATATAGAACCATGAATACTAAAAGAACCACTGGAATGCATAAATGCTTCTTTGCATACTCAAATCGTTCTGCTCTACAGTGAAAAAACAGTTGTACATGGTTCTTTAAATAACCCTTTTAAAATGGCTCTGTATAGCACAAAAATGGGTTCCACTTTTGATATGAGTCAAAGAACCCTTTATCAGCACTATACAGCACCCTTTTATTGCTAAGAGTGTAGAATGTTCTCCCCCACACTGTTAAAAATAAAGGTGCCAGAAAGGGTTCTTTGGATGATGCCAAAGAAGAATCACTAAAGAAAGTTTCAACTGATGGTTCATTAGAGGACCATTTTTGTAAATGAAATGTGTGAGAAGTTTAAAGACCCTTCATATGACGTAAAGATTCTAGAAAGAACCTTTAAATTGGTGTAGGACTTTACGTTATTGGAAGGTTCTTTAAACCTTTAAAAGGTTCTTCACTCTCTCAAATTTCTTTTTCAAGCATGGTTCTTTCGGGGAAACAGAAGTGGTTCTGCCATGGCAGTGATTCCCAACCCGGTCCTCAGGCCCCCAAGCCGTCCATATTTTTGCTCCAGTCCTACTTGCAACACATAGGGATGAAGGAAAAATCTGGACCATCTGGGGGGCCTAGAGGACCGTGACAGAAACCAATGTTTCATGGCATCGCTCAAAGAACCCTTTTATTGCACCTTTTAAAATATTTTTTAAAGTGTGCATTCAGACTGTTCTTGAATGTTCTCCCGTGTTCACATTGTACTAGAACAGTGGTCATTAACCCTCCTCCTGGAGATCTACCTTCCTATACAATTCATATCCAACCCAAATCTAACACACCTGACCCAACTAATTAAGTAGACTGCTGATCTGTTCAAGCAAACTCAGGAAGGTAGATCTCTGGGAGCAAGGGTGTTGACCACTTTTCTAGAATGTTCTCTGCCATTCAGGTTGTTCTGGAAGGTCTTGGCCTTTTGGCTTTTCAGTTCTTATTGTGGAATGCTCTGAAGCCAGCTGCCAACACTGAAGTGTCAGTGTTTGTTGGCGGACATTGGGTCAGTGTACCGTGGCCTTGAGGAGCAGGGATGACGGGAAATGTACTGTGCACTCAATGCATAAAAGCAGGGAATAAAAAACGCAGCACAAACAAGCTACCATATGGAAAATGTTACACTACTTAACAACAGCACAAAGCACAATTGCTCACAACATTGATGTACATAAAACTGATGATGTTCATACGGCTTCACCTGCACCAAGTTAGAAATTTTGCATCACAGTTTAAGTGGATCTAAGAAGTACACCACACTCAATCACATAAAGAAACCATTTATTTTTCTTTCATATGAAGACTCATGATGCACTACTCAATGGTCATAGCTATAGTTTCCAATGTGTTTAAAATAGAAGTTTAGTTCAAATGAAATGTTACCTGTTTAAATATATATATTTTTAACAAAAATTCAAGTCTCAGCCTAAAGGTTGGAAAGCCAAAGCTTGCAGGCAGAGTGGAAAACGATGGACTAAAAGGGATCTCTATCAGATTTCAACTGCTGGCTATAAGGTTTCTTATGTAGGTGCTCCAAACATTATATCGTTTGCGTTTTAATACCCCGCTGCCTTCCACAAGCCATAATTCAGTCGCTTGTTTTTGGACGCCACATTGCCGTAAAAGCCTTCAAGTTAGCATTTGAAGGATCTTAATGTGTTTATCCCATTTAATGTGCATGTGCCGATGCAGACTATCAGTTCAATATATTAGCGCATAAAAACAGCTACGTCTAGAGTAGCTACGTAAAAATTAACTTCAGCCAGTAACAGCTCAGTCTTCGATTGGTTATGTCTGTAAGTCGTTCTTAAAGGCCATACACCATGTAGAAATGCTTTATGATAGGAATTTATAGACGTTTATCAGATTGTATACAAGATATAGATATATTTTAGCTAGTTCAACAAGGAAGCCATGCTTACATTCGTTTGGATTCTCACTATGAGAAGCCATGCCACAGTTTTAAAGTAAGGTAGAAACAACTGTAAGGATTTGAGCAGTTTTTATTTAGTGCTCTCGTAAGGGAAACACTATGGACCATCGCTATAAATGAATTATGAATCTCGTAATTTTAGGCTTATTTTATCATCTGCAAGAGGACCACATTAGCCGGTGGTTTGCTTAAAGGAGTACTGTAATCAGATGTATATTTCCTTTCAGAATTTCACTTCACAAATGTCTGTCTGTCTGTCTGTTTTTTGCATTTGTTTACTTCATTAAACAGCTCCACCCCCCTCACTACTGATAAACATCACATTTAAAACACACTGGTTGGTTGGTAACTCCGTCATTCGTCACAGTCACCTTCACTCTTCAGAATATTTCTGATTTTATTTATTTATTTTCTTTGTAGAAATGTCCTGTTTTTGACCCTCCTGAGATGTTCCGAGTCTGGTGTTATGATATTTATTATCTGGCTTTGATAATACAAAACATTGTTTACTGTGACTTTCTGTTTTTTCCCATTAGCACTGTTCAAAAGATATCACCTTATCAAAGCGAATAACAGAAAGGTGGAACGATCAGAACCCTCGGCCTGTTGTTAATATCAATGTAAATATGCCAAAATGAATAAAACTATGAAGTATGTTTATAAATGTTCTTCTCATTTGTACATGTTGTTTTCTGTTTCACCGGTGGAGACTGTTATTATTCATTGAATTAATTTCTTTTTGCACTTTTTAGTTATTTTTTTATTTTCATTTTTTATTTGTAAACACTCTGTAAAGATGTACATTTTAGGATGTCGTAAGTGTTGCTATAGTTTTGCTCTGTCATGATTTAATTTTAAATTAAATGTACTGTACTTTTTTTAAGAAACTGCCTAGCTGTAACTGCTCAAGGAAATGTATTTGAGGCAATAAATAAATGTTCATTTTAAACGTGTTCATAGTGTTTGGTGTGTTCTATGTATGTCTAGTAAGCTCCCTGGACAAAAAAATTGTCACCTTGCATGTTTAAGGTGGTAGTAATTTCAGGCTCCTGCAGATGGTGCTGCACAAGGATGATGGGGCTATGAATACCTGCAGGGTGTGTGATGGGATTCATAGATTGAGAAAAGTGGCACAGTGCCGTGAATGTATCGTGAAAAATGGATCACAAAGCAGATGTTAATGATTGGGAAAATGGAGTGATTGCATTTGGGCGTACCAAAGGTCACAGTGTGAAGGAAGTCGCTGAGTGTGCAGGTGTATCAAAGAGTACAGTCATACGGGTCGACCAGCGGTGGCAAAAATCCCTGTCTACAGGAAATTCTTGTCAGAATTGCGGCCGAAAGACGACACTGACTGATAGGGACCAGGAGCATGTTTCATGGCTTGTGAATAAAAGTCGCTTTGCTTCCAGGCAAGAATTGCTCCTAGAAGTCAATGCAGGTTCTTCACAACCAATTTCTGAAAGAACTCTCCACAGGGAACTGCATACCATGAACATATGGAGCAGAGCGGCACGCAAGAGGCCTTTGTTCATTTCTGCTCACAAAGCTGCCGGTTACAGTGAACAAAGAGACACAAAAACTGTTGACTGTTTATGACTAGAAACATATCTGGTCAGATGAGTCTCGTTTCTGCCTGAAGGTATATGATGCTCAGCGTCATGTTCATTGTCGACCTCAGGAAGCCTTCAAAGAGGACTGTGTGCAGGTGTGGTTCAAGCTGGAAGAGGCTTTGTGATGAGGTGTTTTAATTACATGGAAATGGGTCCTTTGGTTGAGGTGACAGTAATTTTGAACCACAGTGCCCACACTAAGCTGTTGGACAACCAGGGTTGTGTACACCATAAATCATAATATTAAAACCACCTCCTTGTATCTCCACTCACTGTCCATTTTATCAGCTCCACTGACCACATAGTTTCACTCAGTAGTCCTACAGTTACAGACTGTAGTCCATCTATTTCTCTGCATACTATGTTACCCTGTTCTTCAATGTTCAGGACCCCCACAGTGTTGCGCTGGTCTGAGTGGATCAGACACAGCAGTGTCACTGCTGGACTGAGAACCAAAAACATCCAGCTGACAGTGTCCTGTGGGCAGCGTCCTGTGACCACTGATGAAGGACTAGAGGATGACCAACACAAACTGTGCAGCAGCAGATGAGCTATCGTCTCTGACTTTACATCTACAAGGTGGACTGACAAGGTAGGAGTGTCTGATAGAGTGGACAGTGAGTGGACACAGTGTTTAAAAACTCCAGCAGCACTGCTGTGTGTCTGATCCACTCGGACCAGCACAACACACACTGACACACCACCACCACGTCAGTGTTACTGCAGTTCTGAGAATGATCCACCACCCAAATAGTACCTGCTCTGTGAGGGTCCATGGGGTCCTGACCACTGAAGAACAGGGTAAAAGGGGGCTGACAAAGTATCAGAGAAACAGATGGACTACAGTCTGTAACTGTAGAACTACAAAGTGCACCTATATAGTAAGTGGAGCTGATAAAATGGACAATGAGAGTAGAAACAGGGAGGTGGTCATAATGTTATGGCTAATGGGTGCGTGGGTATCGGCTGCATTTGGAGTGTTAATGTCGCCCTCTACTGTCACTGAGTTGTTATTACAGTCTAAAACATTTGTATGAATCTGACAAGTAATGGACTGACTGGTTTGGACTAATATAAGATTAGAATATTAAAATGATATTAATTCATTTTATAATATACTTATTATCTAAATTAGATCAGATTTAACAACTAATAATTGTTTAATGTACACATCTACTTTATATGTTTATATGTAGTTAATTTGATGTTAAACAAAATGTATACATATACATATGTAAACATATCATGAACATTCTTTTGAATTCCTTATTTAAAATAGCCCTTCACCTTAATAATAGCTTAAAGCTTTCAGTCAACAAGTTTCAACAGGAAATCTCATAACACATCATGTCTCTCTAGGAATTCAGAATAAAGACCATTTAATTAAAGTGTACAGTATATACAGTATTTAATTTACAAATGATCTGTTTATTAAAACAGTTAGATAAAGTGATCTCAGAGAGGTTTACATAGTTTAAAGCAATTAAAACAAGACGCCTCTTTTTAAGCTTGTGCTTAATATGATTTAATGTCTCTTTATTAAACCATTACAGCAGCTACAGTGACACAGAAATGCACTGTTACAGCTCTGTTAACGCAGATCAGTAACGGTGAGCCTTTGATCTCTCCGGTTAGTGAGCCTTTGATCTCTCCGGTTAGTGAGTCTTTTCAGAAGAGATTTAAATTAGAGACGGAATGTTGAGATTCTGCTGTTGAAACAACTGTTCACCTTTTTTTCAGTGGTTATTCCAGGCATTTTTGGAGAGACGCTCATTGTTGGCTTTCTTTAAAAATCAGTGTTGTGTCTCCTTTTGAAAGCCATGATATTATTTTTTGTAAACCTAACTTGGAGCCACACATATTAGATTTAATACATGTCTTTATTCTTTTGGGTAAATATCATATTCACATCTGTAAATGGAAAAAATGTAGACCCTCTTTTAATTTCCTTATCTGTGACTTCACTCAACTCCTTCTACGTTTATCTTTTTGGAAAAAAAAAAAGGTGTATATGTCGATGATGAAATACCTTCTTATCTAATTCATTTTTTTCTTTCTTGCTCATTTTCTTTCTTTTTATCTGTTTTTGTATTGCCTTGCGACCTTTCTTTGTTGTATTGATACTTGTGTAGATTTACTTACGTCTTGTTTTGTTTTTTTTCTATTGCATTTTATATTGACAAATTTCCACTTTTTGTACTGTACACTTTGTTGACGCTGTTAAAGCACAAAAACAAACAAAAAAAAAAAACGGTGAGCTTTTGGGCGTGGCGGTGTAATTATCCTCCTATCCGCTAGATGGACTATCGAGCTAAGACGCGAGAGCAGAGCGCGGAAGAACAGGACAGATGGTTCATGGGACTTGTAGTGCAATCTCGCTCAACAGCGCCAGTAGTGCTGTATCAAAAAAGCCAAATCTGGCAGGGTGTGTTCAGCTTTATATATATATATATATATATATATATATATATATCTTTCTCCAAAATGATGAAATTCAAATAATAAAAAACTGTTTACTAAATCTATGATTTCTCTATCAAAATAGTTTTCTTTTTTCCTTTTCATTTATTTGACAGGGACAGTGCTCATTAATGAACAGAAGAAAATGCTGTTAATGACCCAGAGTTGGCCTTACAGGCTTATATTAATATGTTGTCCCTGGTCAGGCCTTAAAATGGCAACCTAAAGGTATAATTAATGATTTATTACAAATAACACAAATAATACACACACACACACACACACACACACACACACACACACACATACACACACACTTTCTAAACCGCTTTATCCTCCTGGGTCGTGGGGGAGCCGGAGCCTATCCCAGCGGTCATTGGGCTGAAGGCAGGATACACCCTGGACAGGTCGCCAGTCCATCTCAGGGCGACACACAGACATACACAGTCACACCTCGGGGCGATTTAGCATCTCCAATACACCTGACTGCACGTCTTTCCACTGTAGGAGGACATTCAGCACTCAGAACTCAGTAATAGTAATGCTAACCAATCAGCGCTCAGTAGCAGTAATGCTAACCATTCAGCACTCAGTAGTAGTAATGCCAACCAATCAGCGCTCAGTATCAGTAATGCTGACCAATCAGCACTCAGTAGCAGTAATGCCAACCAATCAGCGCTGAGTAGCAGTAATGCCAACCAGTCAGCACTCAGTAGCAGTAATGCCAACCAGTCAGCACTCAGTAGCAGTAATGCTAACCAATCAGCGCTCAGTAGCAGTAATGCTAACCATTCAGCACTCAGTAGCAGTAATGCCAATCAATCAGCGCTCCGTAACAGTAATGCTAACCAATCAGCACTCAGTAGCAGTAATGCTAACCAATCAGCGCTCAGTAGCAGTAATGCTGACCAATCAATCAATGAATGGGAGTGAATGCAGCTCAACGTCTAAAAATGAAAAGTTAAAATAGTTTCTAATCACTGAACCAGAACTTTCCTTTAGT